GCGGGACATTGCTCGCGGGGGTCCACGGAGTTTCACCCACCGAGTCCACTCGGAACCGTTCCCGGCCCGGCTGCGCCCGGCTGGTAGCCTCCAGCGAGAGAAATCTTTGTGAGCCAGTGGGGTGAGAGGGAGAGGAATCGGAGCCAATGAGTCCGGGCACCGCGGGCCCAGCCTTGGTTGGGCCCCCCTCTCCCTCCCCGCAAACCCACAGCCTGGCAGGCCAAGACCCCCGCCCCCGACGGGAGCTCTTGGCCTGCCGCACTCTCCTCCACAGCATGCATACCCCCTCCAGGACACAGTCTCTATATCCAGACCCATTCTAGGACACACCCAGAGACACACAAAGACACACTGGCTTGTGGCCCATCACCCTCGCCCTCAGTCGCACACACTGCATCCCAGATGCACATTCGCACACCATCGGGCGCACACACATTCCATCCCTGGCACACACACTTTCATGGTCACACACTTATTCCTTAAGGGATATAACACAGGAACACATACACAGGCACAGCTGCCCTGGACACTCATAGTCACTCCACACACCCATCCAGACACACAGGTTGCCCCAGGTGGACACACACTGCTGCCCAGGTCGCCCCACACTGCCAAGAGCTATCTGCAGGCTCACTGCGGTGCTCCTCCAGAGAGGGCAGGGTCTGGGCACCCTCTAGGGGAATTTGCTGAAAACCCGGCAGTCCAGATTGCCTGGGCAGGTGAGGGGCTGCCCCAGGCCCTCCCCAGGTGCCTGAGGCCCTGAGTGCCAGTGTTTGTGGCAGGCTTTGTTTCCCAGCCTGTAGAGCAGCAGGGAAAGTGGTTGGGGGTGGGGGTGGGGGGTTGTGCGTGAGTTTTTTTCTTTAAGGGGAAGAAATTAAATAAAAGATCCTCACACCTTGGCAATATGTTTCTACTTACGGTGTGTCTCAGCACCTGACCAGACCAGCAGGCGGGTGGGTTGTAAAGTGTCAGCAGGTACCAGTGGGATGGGAGATGGGGACCCCTGTCGGGACCCCAGGATGGAGGCCACCCTCCTGTATTGCTTGCAGAGAATCTCACACTTTTCCCTTTTAAAACACATGGTGTTTCTTTTTAATAACAGCAGTGGCTCCAGATTGGGAAGTGGGGAAGGAAAAAACTTTTAAAGGCCTCAGCTTTGCAGGAACGGCATGGAGAAAGGGATGTAGGGTGGGAAGGCTGTCCAAAAGACTAGCCCAGGGATCTGCTTTGGGGAGCCTTCTAGGAGGCCCCCAAATCAGGCCAAGGGCCCCCCAACCTCAGTGGGCTATTCCTCCCGGAATGTGTGCATCCCGGTCCTGAGTGCCGTGGCCCATTATGTGGGGAGTGCGGAGCCAGCCTGGACCCCAGAGTTGGGAGGGGCTTTAATCCTAATAGTTCCTAGGCACTTTGGACCTCTTGATCTCATCTCATTAATCTCCCCAGCAGGTAGAATATATTTTCCTCCCATTTTATGGAAGAGGAAACTGAGAACTGGAGAGGGAAAAACAATTGCCCAGGTGCTCCAGCTGGAATTGGCACCCACATCCCAGGAGGAGAAGGCCTCCCTCTGACCTTTCCTATTGGAGCTGGGGTGGGGGGGGTTGGCCTGTCCAGGCCCGCCTGGCCTTGCCCTCTCGCCCCGTCCCCCGCCCAGCCCTTGGAGGGCAGCTGCAGCTGCTGGCAGGCGGGCAACACTAGTTCAGGCCAGGCGGGTGTGGCAGAGGGGCAATGCCCCCTGGCCAGGACCCCCCAGAAAGCCCTTTCCTGACTAGGCTGTGAATATGGGGGGCGGGTGCAGGAGGGATGTGACCCATCCCCCGAGGACTGGGAGTGGGTCTGGGTCTGGGCAGGCCTGGCCTGCCCCTGCCTCCCACCCTGCTGGGGGTGGGGGCAGGCAGGAAGTGGTGGGTGGGCCGGGGCAGAGATGCTGGCACGCCCGAGTTCATGCCGGAGGAATTCCGAATTAGCTAGCGGCTGGCTGCCTGGGACC